GCTGTTTTTTGCTACTTACACATTACAGAGTTTCCAGCCTATACTTTTGTGCATACATTTTGGCACTGGTATATTAAATCAACTTGGAAAATGGTGGACAGACAAGAATTTAGGACAACGCACCAGCTTCAACGTTGGCTTCCTGGATGGTGACATATGTGTTTCTGTCATAACGTTGGTGTTCGTGGTTGAAGCCAAAGGCATGCAGAAGCTCGTGAATGACTGTTCCCACGTACCAGCACCCTGAAACAGACAGGTTCAACTGCTGGGATCCAGTGGTCTTCATGCCGACGTAGGACCAGCACCTGTAAAGGCATTTCAGTGTGAAACGATAAACAACAGAAATGGTGTACCACCTATTTTCGATTACAACTCTCTTTCCGAAATGATGAATGCGATTTTCCTTGAAAAGTTGTATTCTCGGTTTTTGTTGTATTAAAAAAAACATCAAAACACCCAGGAATTAGCAGCCAATAATCCATCTACAAGGAAGTCCAAAAAAAAACCCCACACAAAAAGGTTGAAGTGCAGTGAAGGATTTTATGGCGAATTACAGTACAGTATTTCTTCAAAAAGGATTTTTTCGAGTTGTCTCTTGTTAAGGAAGAATACTATGATTGATTTAGGTTGAAAAAGTATCACCGCTTGAATGTTCTCATAAAAAAATGCTGGAAGTTCAAGATTTGAAAATTTTAAAAACGGAAACTTCCAGAAAAAAAGTTTTCCTTGTTATGAGATAGTTTCCTAACATGTTTTTTAAATTGATTCCTATACTGAATGTTTAGACTTCCTTTCAATGCTGTTTTCAAAAGATGACATTTTTTCAATAAAACAAGTTATAGTGACTGACATTTTTAAATACCACCAAAAATTGTTTTTCAATCTCCATTAGTCAGAATTTCGAAAGCAAAACTCTTGAATCAGCCCTGAAAATCTTGTCAAAAATTTTGTTACTCAAAGAAATGACAGGCAATGGGCAATACCCTTCTTATGGATTTTCTAAGACAATTGGTACCTTGCAATTTGACCCTAACCTGCTTCTGGACTAGGGTTAAATTGCAAAGTTTTCAATTTTCAAGAAAATGTCATGTCATATTTTTTGCATAGAATTTGATGTTTCATGTCTCTCTGCAGGTCAAATTGCACAGCACAGCACAAATTGAGAATCAACCTCCCTGCAAATTTCACTGTCAAATTGGGGGATGGTTGATGTGTGAGAGGTCAAATTGTGAGATACCACCTGTCCTTCATCAAGGTATTTTTATTACTGTATCAAAAACAAAGAAACAATTATGTTTTTCTGTTACCCAGGCTCCGTAGTGGTGATTCTGACGTAACTGGTGATGCTTGCTTGTCCATTCCTGGGATAAACCCTGAGGCACGTCTTGTCGTGGATCTCCTGGATCGCAGCAGACAGCACTTGATCATTTCTGGCTGAAATCCAAGAATTGTCCATGGTTCATTTCTGAAAAAGTAGGAATAACTGGAAAGAATATTCGATACTCACTGGCAGTTGCGTCGTACTCGTAGTACAAGACACCCCCGGTCCAGAGCTTATAATTGGTGTTGGGCACAAAAGCCATGACAGGTCCATCTGCCTGCAAAAACAGACAAAAAAATCCTAATTTTTAAAAATTGGTAGCAGTTTAGAACTATACAATTTGTAGGTGATAATATGACTGATCTTTTTATCTTGTACTACGGTTTTATTCTGTAATGTATCAGGATGCAGATGAAGTTTCAACTGCTTGTAGAGATTTTTGCGTCTTTTGTTTTCTATCGATGATAATTTTTTCCAATTTTGAGAGAGAATGGGAATAAGGAGGCGTCAATTGCAAATAAATTCCAAGATGAAAGAAATGCTTGCAAACATTATTTCACTTGAATTGTGGATTGAGGATTGGGAATTTTCCGAAATAATTATTGCATGCATGAAAATTGCAGTAGAGGTTGAAACAATTTTCAATTTCACTTATTCCTAGGATGGGTGTATAACTTAGACAAAATGCAATTTTTGGCGGCCTTGCACCTGCAAATGGGATAGCAGTACTTTACTTTTCGCATGCTTCAAGGGGAACAAATTTTTTTGTTTTGCCAGTGACTTTTGCTTCCTTGAGCCATTCTTCATCAGTAATGACGATGCCCAGAAGATTTTCGTCAGCAATGTGCTTTGCTGAAAAATATATTTTGTAAGCTTGGACTAGCATTTTACTGAAGACAGAGTTTGTGGAAAACTTAATTTAACTTAACTTAACTTAGCTTTGCTCTTTGTCCATCAGGGCTAGATACAATTAAGGTGAAGACATTGTGGAATGCTGTTCGCGGATAAAATTCAATCCCAAATCTTTTCAGTAAATGTTTGTTCATCAATTTATTTCAATTGAAAGGATTACGGGTTTGATTACGATTGCTGGAATGCTCGACTAATAGATTGGTTGTTTCGAATATTCCGCGTAAGTTAAACAGACGAGTGAAATTCCGACTCACACTGTTGGTGATTTCAGGGACACTGATTCCTCCAGCCATGTCTCCGCCAAACATGGAGTTGTTTTGCAGTGCTTCCTGTCTGATATCGCCTCGAATTTGCAGCACCAGCAAGAAGAACACTACAGAATACATCCCAAGCATTCTGAACATCTTGAAATTGCTTCTGAAATGCAAGAGCAGAAATCAATATTCACTTGATAATTCATGGGACGTTGCTTATTTGGGGTGAAGTCGATCTCACGGGTTGAATTTGGACACGCGTTAGACTTTTTTTACTACTAAGAAAAGGAACTAAGAAAAGCTTGATGACTCAAAATTATTTTACCGAATTAAATAAATTACTTTTGATTGTTTGAAGAAATCGTATGGCTCGAGTTTTTCAACCTGCTCGGATCAGAAAGCGGTTGAAAAGTGACGTTTTTCCCCCCTCGAAAATTTACTTTCTTTCCTCGCTGCTTGTGCGAGTAATGAACCCTGTGACGAGGCGAAGTCACCTGCTGGAGCGTTATTAACCTTCTTTGTTCTTTCGTGTGACGAATGCAGTCGCGAGGTAATAGTAAAAGAAAATGATCATGAAATGATACCTGAAAATTAGCAACAAGTGTCAGGGACGCTTCGTCTGTTACTTATCTTCCTCCGAAAAAAAAGAACCTGTAAATCTTGACATATGTCATTCTTTTAAAAAAATTTAGTAACGTTCGTTGCTGGATTTTTCGGTTTTGTGAGGGGGAAAATCCTCAGCAGAATCTTGCAGACGAAACGTGAAAAGAATTACAAAGTTTCATTCAACGATTATAATGCAATAGTTGGCAATTTTACGAATATCAAGAGATGATTGGAGAAAAATCTCGAAATAATAACTGTATTTAAGAATTGCGCCGATTTCTTCATTTCATGGGAAGCGTTGGTGAACATGTTAGCGCAATAGGAAAATAGTTCCAGATCACTTTTTGTTTCCCCCGGAGAACATATCTTGAACTTCGATGAATTCTCGGAACTGACTTCATCAGGTCATTGTCACAGTAGTAAATCATCAGTTATTATAGGTGTAACTATACCGACAAGCACATGCGATATGTTTCAAGATGCTGTGCTAAGCTAGCTTATGCATTATCACGCCTCGTTCGTTGTAGAATCGTTGCATTTTCCTTACAGAAATAATTTCGAAGAAAAAAACCCTTCTCTCTTTTTTAATGGAACATTGTGACTGAACTTAAATTAGATGGTTATCAAAGGTTGTATTTTTTTCGAGATCCGGCGTTTTTAAATGAAACAATTCACCTCCAACGACGAGGTAAAGAGTTGACAAAGGGAATCTTGAAATTTGGAAATGAATCTTTAGGTTAATGACGGCGTCCGATTCTGAAGATTGAATCAAGTCAGAAAAAAATTAAGCAGTGAA